ATCGGTGGTGTCTCCCTGCGCTTTCATTGCTTCCAGTTTCATCGATTCTTTCTCGGCTTCCTTCTGATAGGAATTGAGCTCTTTGATCAGGCGCTTCACAACGCCCGTTTTAATCGTCAACTCTTTCAACGCTCCAGCACAGTCCGCCATTCCCTTCTGAAACATGTATTTTTATGGAAGAGAGACAGAGAAAAAAAGAAACAATATTTCGTATAATAAACGAAAAGTTTCTCCGAGTTTGATGCGCATCATGTCACTTTTCCACATTCCATTATCGCAGTCGTACAAAAGGGAAATGGACCAGGAAAGCTAGAAGGCTGAAATTTTAGACCAGGAAAGCTAGGAGGCACATTCTCGCCCCGTACACCACCCTCCCGTCTTAAAATCTTCGCTGATTCGCGCCTAGACCTCGCGCATGGACCCCCGTGAAAACGAACTTCACCCAAACCAAACAGGCAACTAGCAACTACTAAAACTCGGCTCTGTCCAACTTTGGCATGTTACGAAATTTTGCTGCAAAATGCACTCGTTTCTACACAAATGAGACACCACTTCTGCCATGGGTAACCTTTCCCCGAATGTTCGGGTAACGCTACCCGGGCGTTGGGCAATGAAGTTGCTGGGAAATGGTGGTCTCTGCACAAATAGGATGCTGCTGCTGTCATTGGTAACGTTTACCCGAATTTTTGGGTAACGTTACCCGAGTATTGGGTAACATAGTTATTAGTGATAAGTGGAAAAGGGGAGGAGAAGACAGTGTGGTGCAAGTTTGGACCGCAAGGACTCTCCGGAGGGGGGGAGGGAGGGGAGGAGAAGGGGAAAGAGGCGGGGTTTTCAAAAATTGTGTTTTTGGGGTGACGAAGGGCTGGCGTATACCATCATCATCATTTTAAGAGCGCAGCAGAACGATGCTGAATTCGGAACTTTTGGACAAAAATTTTGGCGTCTGCTTTCCGGAGGAGCTGGACGGTGTTCTGGATACGCAGCAGGGCTCAGCGAATTGCTGCAAATTCAATCGCTGGGGCTCACTGGTTGCCGTGGGCAGTATCGATGGTCGCATCTTCATCTTCGACCTAATCACCAAAGGAGTTGTCAAAGTAATAAAAGCATTTTTCAATTTTACTTCAATTCTTTTTTGCATGTATGCAAATTGCAAAAACACATATTGGCAAGAGGCTGTGCATGCGTGCGTGTGCGTGTGTGTGTCTGTGTATGTGTGTGTGTGTGTGTCTGTCTGTCTGTGTATTCTCACTTTTTGTCACTCACTTTCAACTCGAGAACCAAAAAAGCTAGAAGGCTGAAATTTTAGGAATTGCGCAATCAGCTTTACCGGTTATTAATTGCCAGTGGCACTCGCTGCCGTTCAGACTACTTCCATTTATCGTTTTTTTTTTTTTGACTTTATGTTAACGATATTTAAAGAAATATGCTAAAATTTTTCTTTTTTTTTTCAGAGTTGGTTGGCTCACGGTTATGCAATAACAGCGCTAAGTTGGTCGCGCGACGGCCGTAAACTGCTAACGGCCGGCAATGATTTCACGGTTGCAACCTGGGATGTGCTGGAAGGATCGCGAATTGAGCGACAGGCCTTCGGATCACCCATTATTTCGGCTATGTTTAATCCTCGGTTAGTGCGAAAAAAATTTTACTTCTTGTTGCAGGACGTGCAATTTGAAACCCAAATATCGCATATTACTCGTTGTTATTTGAGAAAATCAGGACTAATTTCGCTTACGAAAAAGGCCCATTTTAACATGGCGGAATGGGGCACTGTACTGATGATTCCCACTGTATTCCGCACCGATTCCGCCGTCTCTGTTGACAGCTCAGGGATGAAATAGGGACAGAATAACAGCTCAATGTACATACAGGCTCGCTTATCTGGGAGCACTTCCTGTTTTCCCATAACTGTCAAAATTCGATTATGTTCCTCTCAACGGCGGGCC